CTACAGTAACAAAGAAATTTTATCCAAAACGAGAAATAAAAATATTAAAAGTATGCTTAAATGCCTTTTATCTTTCAGCCTCCGTTATAAATATTCGCTGTATAAGATAGTCGTTATATAAGAGAACTGGCATTTGATATCGAAAAATATTGTAGATTTATAGCATCACATTATCAGCGAAAATAACTTAATTAATCTTTATATTTCGATTTTCTATTTATTAATTCAAGTGTAAGCTATAAGTAATGTAAATCTTTGTTCAATGATCGCGATAATTCCTCCTTCTAAAACGTTTCTTTTGGCGCTGAAAAGCGTCCTCTAACAAAATATAACGTCTACTTGTACTAGCACCGCTGTAAAATATTTATATAAAGCGCTAGGTAATGATAAAAGTTTAATATAAATAAGGATCTAATTCTCAATGACTCAGTGACTCTGATTAAAAATTGACCATGAAGAAATTAAATTTCGTTCACAATTTTTAACTAAAATTTTTAAATAATTGCTACGCTAATTAAAGTGAGTTTGCTAAAGATAATATTTCTTGATATAATCAAATGAAATGCAAAATCATGATTTTAAAAAAATTTGTTCAAATTAAATTTCTTAAAAATTTTTTACTAATTGTTATATTCATTAATTGTAGTCGCAATCATTATCTGATCACCTTTGGCAAATTTTTTAAAATTTTAGAACAAACATTAATTTTTTTATTATTAAACTAAATTTATTAGTATTTCAAAATTAAACAAGCAAAAAAAAAAAACAAACCAGATTCAGCACGAGAATTGAGTTTTTCACTAATATTACAAAAATATATGAAAAAAAATTACATTACTTACCAAAATTATTGGTCACGTACTGAATTTTTGATTAAAAATGTAAATGCAGTACAAACGCCTTTCTATTTTTCCATAAGTTGTCAATTATTGCACAAAATTAAAATAAAAATCAAACAAAGGCTTTACAATCGCTATCGAAAGAACCATAAAATACGTAATTTAAAGGTAAAAAAACAAAAAACGTTTTAAACCTCTTCACTAACGATTAATATTTTATTCTCGCTCCAATAAACACCATTTTTAATTAATTTGTTTTTCTAGAGAGTTTTACCTCTCTAATTATTCATACGAATCTTCATCTTGATTTTTATTTATAAGAACAAACAAGCTTACCAAATTATAAAAAGAAAAAAAATTATTTGCATTTTGAACTTTTGAATTGCACTGTAACTGAAATAACTATAATACAAGTAAATTTTAATTTATGAATCCGAAAATAAACACAATTCGAGAAGAGAAAAAAAAATTTTATGTGCACCATGTGAATGTGTGCAGTTTCAAGTGAGCATTATGTGTACACACATTCATTTTATACAATAATTTCAATTCGAAGGACAATTCTGCACAAATAAATGCTTTTGTTACATAACGCGGCAGACGCATTTACATAAAAAGAAAGAAAAATGAATAAATTTGTTTAATACCCAATTTTAAAAAGCCTGCAGTGCTTTAAAATTAAATGCATGTGTGTATCTTTTTTTTTGTTCATAATTTTCTTAAATTTAGAATATTGTTACATATGAAAAATTTTCAAGTGGTTTTCATTCAATTTTTCCTTAAATAACATTTTCTTTTGTATACCACAATAATACATATATGTATATTGAGTTTAGCTATTTTGAAACAAAAAAAGTAATAAATTTTTTAAATGACATTTGACTATAGAGATGTCATCAAAAAAAATTAATGAAATCGCCTTCTTTTCTTACTCAATTTGAGAATCATAACAAATTTTTTATTATTCAATAAAATTTTATGATTTATGATTATACGCGGAGTCCTTCTGATTGTCTAATCATTTGTAATCTTAAAACTTTCATTTATAATTGTGTAATTTAAATTTTTAATCATTTCAATTATAGCTAGTGTTCACATCCTTATAAAATTATATGACAGATTTTATTTTTTAAAAGTTCTTGGCATAAAATTGCAACGAATTATTGTGTACGCTCCACTGTTTTTGAAAAATTTGGAAAATAAAGATTTCGTTAAAAGAGAGCTTATATTTGAATTGGAGATTTTAAAACTGTTTCAATTAAAATTTAAATTAAAATTTAAAGCGATTTTAACCAGGTTTCGATTTCTTCGATCAGATTTCGTATCGGCATCAAGTTTTATGTTGTAATCAAAGTTTGTATTATTTTAAATTTGTAATAGTTCTAAGAGTTCATTCAATATTTTAGATTTTCGTCTGACTTCTTAGAAAATCAAAGAAATCAAGTACACTAAAAAAAAATTAAAAATAAATCCGAAAGGAAAAATGTAAAGGAATCTGAGAAAGTTTGAAGTACAAATTCTTGTTATGAGAAAATGCAATATTATTAATGGTTGAAGATCAATTAAATAATGTACTTTTTATGAAATTTTAATTAAAATCTCCAAAATATTTTTTCATGAGCTAGTCGATAATTATTTGCTTTTTCAGAGAATAATTCGGTTTTGTAATACAATTTTGCTTGTAACTATGACACGGCTCTCGACGAATGCTTTCAATTGTATGGCTCTTCCATCAATAATGCCTGAGGTATACACTAGAATTTTATTTTATGTAGCAATAAAAAGTAACGAAAAGTGATTATGAATTTGAAAAAAATTATGTTCCCAAAAATTTTAGATGTAAAAGAGTAAATCTTTTACACAGCTTTCAGTTGTGTGACTAATCAATATTTATATAAGGAAAATATTTAAAATTTGTAGTACAAATTAAAGTTTCTAGAATATTAGTGTTAAACATTCATAAAAATTTCATTACATTTTGTGTACCCTTATGATGAAGAACATTCACAATTTAAAATGAATCCCTTTTACATTTGACTGCAATTGAATAAATGCTTGCCTCCAAAATTTGACTTTAACATTAAAAAACATTGCCTCCTCCAATTAATTTTTTTGATCAAGGGCAAAATAATTTAAGTTGAACTTTAATTTGTTCAAATGTTTTTTGGGGTTGCGGTAATTTTTATTTGTGTTCATAAAAAACGTATCTTCCAAATAAATAAAATTATAATTGATGACTGGTTTGAAATTTCTCAAGTGTTTCGAAATGTTATAATTAAAGTCCAATTAATAATAATTAAAATAAAAATTTATTCAATTTTGTGACAAATTAAAATTTTCAATTTGTTTTTTGTCAGGACATTTTTTATCAGTTTAAAGTGAATAAATTATTTAATTTTTTATTTTTTATTAAAAATCAAATCAAAGTGGCAGTACTTGACATTGTAAGTCATTCTATCATAATACAGTTAAAGTTGAATATGGGGAGAAGATTGAATTTTTTTTACTCAGCGGAAAAAAAAAAATTATTTGTTAAATTAACGAAAATAATAAAGATTACAAAACCTGGCTAACCAATCTGATTTCTTGTATAGAGTCGGTTTTGATTTACGCTCTGTATGAAATTTACATCTTATAGTTGAGTTCCCGCCAAAAATTATAAAAGAAAGACTCCTGTTTAACAATGTTAAAATATACCAAAGCAAAATTATTGTGTTGGACAACGTCAGATGGATTCAAAAGTTTTTGTTCAAAATTAAGTTGATTATAAGATTGAACTCAGTTAATCTATGCGAAAGACTATTGAAATAAGGTACTTTTTTTTAGATGTTAAAGGGAAACTTTTATTTAACAAGATTGGGGAACCACTTATACACAATGAGATAAGCTGCACCGATTGCCTTAATATTTTCACTTTATTCTCGTGATTTAAACGCAAAAGGTGCAATGATTTTTTAAAAATTCTTGTATCGACCCCTTCCGTCAAAATATCTGGTCGTTGAAATAGCTAAAGTTTTTTAATTATAAATATATTGTTACGAATATAGATGCTTAATCATACAATTTTCCATACACTTATAATATTTTCATATTAATTATTTATAACCTACTTAATATTATAAAAAAAAATCTAATAAATACAAAAAAATTCAAGTGACCCACTTTTAATTTGCTAAAATTATCAGATTTTAAATGTCAATCAGTAGAAAACAAACTGAAAAAAATGCAACAAAATTCGAATAAACTTATAGAAGTCAATAATTGTATGAAAATTATAAATATAAAGTTATAAATTTAAGCACAACATGTACTTAATTGCACAATATAAAAACATATGGTTTACCAAATTTACAGCTATAATAAAAATATTGTGCAATATTTCATACTATATAATAAACAGCCATTTTATTAAGGCGGAGTTTATTTTCTTCTTTAAATTTCTTTTATCAGGAAATTCTTCATGTTTTTATGAAATGAAAACAACAACAATAATTATAAAAAAATTCTTACATACATTTTAGAATTGATATCGCTTTCTCTTTCTCTCTACTTATAGGACTCTTTTCATTTTTCTCTTTCATTTGCATCATACTCAAAACTGTTATCTCTTTTCATTTATTATGATTCCGTTCATGAATATTTACACTCACTGGCTATGGCTGGGATATCATGGGAAATTGAGTATTAAAATTTCAAATTATAATTTTTTAAGACAAATTATTGATTTAGAGGAATTTTTTTGTTTTTCTACTTTTTTTTTTCAAGATTTTGTTGTCTCCGTGGTTTTGAAATTTATTAAATTCAGTTTCATATTTGTTCTGTTCTGTTAAATATGCGTTAAATAAGCGTACAATTGCGGTTTAATTTCGGGAAAATAGATGCAAATATGCCGTATTATTAAAAATTTAAGAAAAATAAGCGTAATGTATAACAATTTATTGGTAAATAAATTAAAGCAACTAATTTGGAGTAAATAAACCTTTAAATAACATTCAAAATGAATTATAAAAATTAATTATTGAAAAATTTTTTTTCGGAAAAAGAAGAGTGTTGAAAAAATATTTCCAACTTATTGTGAATATATTTTTAAAATAATAAATACTTTCAAGTATAGAAACATTTAAAATTATATTTAATTAAAATATTATACAAGATATGAAAATGTTACAACCATCTGGTTATTACGAAATTAGTAATAATTCTGGTAACTCTTCTTCAATTTGCGGTTCAGATTCACTTATAACAACACCATTTTCGGTTAAGGATATTTTAAATTTAGCAGAATCGGATAACCCATATTTACAAAACGAAGGGTAGGTATTAGTAGCTAATACAATTTTATTTTTTTAATTTTCAAATATTTTTAAAACACTGTTTAATAGAAACCAGGATATTGCTTAAGGATAAAATAATTTTTGTTTTTTAATTAAAAGAATATTATGAGTATAGCGTGAAAGTTAATGTTGCTAGAAGCTATAGCAATATTTTTATTACTTTTATTCAGCATTCCATAATTAAAAGTTTTGTATTACGAAAACCAATATATTTAAATTGTCGAATTAGACTAGTTTAAATTTGCAAGCACATCAGAAGTCATCAAAATAAAATAAAAAATTTCTATTTCGATTGGTGCTCTGTTCTTAAAGCATCAAATTATGATTCTGATCTAATTATATCTTTTTTATATTGACTTTGTTGCACAATTCACAATTAAATTTACATAAATGATCCGGCTTAAGTCTATAAAAATTAAAACGTTCTTGTTGTCAAAGAAGAATATTGATTCACTGAATGTTAAATGTTTCATTTAGCTTTATTTGGAAAATGAAAATTACACTTATATTAAATACAATTTAACTTTATTACTTAATGTCTAGTTCACAAAACTTATTCACACAGGTATTAAACTGTCTAAGCCGACGATTTTCACACTTGGAGAAATTTTTGGGAAATTCTCTATGTTGCGTAATTCTTAAAATGGCAATTAAATTAAAAATGAAATAATTGTTGTGTCGAAGAAAGCCAAAAATCCTTTATGGGGTATAGTTTCGCTTGAATAATGTGGAACTCTCATGAAAGAGTTTGTCTTGTGAGCTGAGAACGTTATATTCAATATAATACAAAAAAAAACCTCAAGATAAAAACTATTTTTTTTTCAAAGTTTTTAAATATATTTTTTTGTATAATTTAATATCATTAAAACGATAAGAAATGCTTTAATGAAGCAGTAACCTAAAGTCTTAAATTTTGGATTGTGCTGTTAAATATACCAGAAAAAAGAACCCAGATCGGAGTAGGCAAAAAATCATTCTAAAATTAAATTTTGAAATATATGTATGTAATACCCCCAGAGGATATTCTTAGAAACGTGCAGAAAATTTATGCACTTATTTAAATAATAGAGTCAAGTCGCACATGTTAATCATATTGCACAATAACATCCAATTTTAACATCCTTGATTCACATTTTTATAAAATTTTTGTTACACAAATTTTAAAAAATTTTTTTGAACTTTAGAAATTTGGTACACACATTATTATCGGCAATTAAAAATATCTATTGTTTTCCAGTGTTATCGTTCTTAATATCCTTTTCAAAAAATAGTTTGTTTCATTGAGTTTATGATCCTTTAACTTTTTTATACGTATTCGAACAAACCGTCTCGACGGGATTCCTTACATTCTTATCTTTATAAATAAATATCCTTGTTTGATTTAACAATATTATTTGCTTATCTTAAAAAATAATCTATAAATAGATGAAAACAAGAATTTTGGGTTTATTTAAAAAATTTGTTATTTGCGTAATGAATTAATATAGACCTCAGTTTAAAATTATCTCTATTAAATTCAAATTTAGTTCTAGACCATTATAATAATAATATTATACTAAGCTACCGTACACTTAAATCGCATTAATTATTGTCGTATATAATGAGTTTATTATAGGTGATGTCTTCCGACAAGCATAATTCAGCAATTTTTATTAAATTAAGATCAATTTATAATAGAATATATCAAGATCATGTGAAATTAGCATGTCAAATGTCTTAAATATTTCACATTATAGTGTGAAGAAATGATCAATTTAAATAAAATTCCTAAATATTTTTTTTAGATTATCACAACATCCTGTAAATTACATGGACTACGAATCGTATAACACAACTGATCAAACGTCATCAGGACAATATATATCACATAATGGGTATTTATCACATCAATATGGTGGTGCTTCAAATAATTCTTATGAGTATTCATCTATGTCAGGAACGACACCGACATCTTCACAATATTATCATCATCCACATTCTTCATATTCTAATCATCATCATCATTATCATCATCCACATCCTCATGCTTCATTTCATACACATCAAAGTTATCAGTATTCTGCGACAACTAATCCATATGCATCGACAACAAATCTTCAAGGATATAATTCACATTATCAACAATCACCGTCATTTCTGCCTAATGAAAATAATAATTTAAATAATGATAATACAGAAAATATAGCAACAATATCAATTATTGATGATAATAGTAGTTATCAATCACGTAATTCATCAGTTCCACCATATATGTCACCATCATCATCAACACCTGCCGATATAATAAATCCCTTAGAATCTTCGATGACGGCAACATCTTCGCCACATTGTTCAAGTATAGAAAAACAAAGTCCTGTTTCATCACCAGTGACACAACAACAAAACAGTTGCGCTACCTCAGAACATGTTCGAGATCTAGAAAATATTTGTCAAATTAGTACTGAAAATGAAAAAGGAATTCAAAGTAAAAATAAGTTTATAGCTTTTAATGTCATATAGTTCTTAAAGAAAATTTTTTCTAATTTTGCAGTTGATCCCAATTCACAACAAGTCGTAACATCATCTCGTGCTGAACTACGTAAAAATGGCAAACTGAAAACGAAAAGAAAGCCACGTGTACTATTTTCTCAATCACAGGTACTAGAACTTGAACGAAGATTTAGACAGCAAAAATATTTATCAGCACCGGAACGTGAAGTTATGGCCCAACAATTGAATTTATCACCAACACAAGTTAAAATTTGGTTTCAAAATCGCCGATACAAATCAAAACGTCTTCAAATCGAAACAGCAGTTAATGCGAAAGATAATCAAAAGTTATGCATTAATAAATTACCAACAGTATCTGACAGTAGTAAGTCAATGTTAGCATTAAAAAATGAAAAAGAAAAAAATATTGTAACGTCATATCAAAATACGATGAATATTCAGAATGTGATTGGGTCAAACCCAGTACAACGACACAACTTGGGACATAATTTAAGTGTGGCACCACCGCCACCACCACCACCACCACCCCCACCATACCCAGGTTATCAGTTATTATCATATGAGCATCAAGATTCTTATTCAAATCATCATCATACAAATGGTTTATACACAACATCAACCGGTGAACATTATGACCAGAAAGTTCCATTATGGTGCATGGATTAATTTCAATTATTCTAATAAAGTTAGAATTTGCAATTAATTTATTTAATTTTTAGACATTTTTGTAAATAAATTTTAAAATCCCAGTATTATATTACATGATGAATCAGATTTTTTCTATATATGTATGTATACGAGTACAATCTGTAAAATTATATTAGATGAAGTTTTAGTTAAATGTCAAGTCTAAATGAAATTAAATTTAGCTTAAATTTATGTTGTAAATATTTAGTTAAATGATTTTAAGATTAAAAAATTCAAAAATTTTAAGCGACATAAAAATTACAATATTGAAAAGCAATAGAAATAGTAAAATATAATATAAATTTTGAGTTTAAAACCTCTTTAGCTTTGAAATTTCTGACGAAATGCGTAAAAGATTAAAATTTTAATTAAAGTCAAAATATTTTAATAATTTTGCTCGATGTATTAAATTGCTTAAAATTTGACTTTGTATTAAACAAAACTATTGTGCTCCTACATCTTTTAGTAGATTCAGAAGTATTTTGAAAGTTAAGTAAACTTTGCCAGCAAGGATTTCAAAAGTAAGGTAAAGATTACAATTTGAAATGAAAATTCGAATTAATATTGAAAATTTATTTCTGATTTTTCCGAATTTTTCAAGTATATTCTAACGAATAACCAATCCGATTTTGAAATGTCTGAAAATTAATCAAAGTTTTTGAAGTCAGCCCTAAGTGAGTCTAACATCAAACTGCTTTTATGATACAAACATAAAAAAACCTTAAAGTGACCTTCTAAAATACTTGAATTTTCGTGAATGAACAATTATCACCTCTACCTTAACATCTACTCAAATATTTATTTACATATTTTTTTTATATTTCTTGTCACTTCCCTTCACTACAAACATTTTCGTAAATAAGATCTACGTTTTATTTATTTTGATTTTGCGAATATTCGAAGGTTCTCACTGACTTCTTTTTCAAAGTGGGATATGATTTGAAAACACTTTCATGTTAGATATCAAGGGTTAAGTTAGACAATACACAGAAATTTCAAATTCTTGCTTTAAATATATTCAAATGAATATTAGAGTTTAAGCTAGAGAAAATAAAATAGATTTTCAAATATAAAGAGCAAACCGTGTAGCTATACAAATTATTAAGTGCTCCTTATACATTGGATCATAATTACTGCATGTAGTAAATACTTTTAAACATTTTACTATTTTTTAACTTTTATTTCTGCTCTTAGAGCTCAATTCGAAATCAGTTTTGATTCACTATTTTTATATACAAAATGACAAAAAAAAAAATTTTTGACATTTTTATTAGAAAAACATGTAAAAAACATGGGTTTTTTCCGGTACAATCATTTGCGGCTTTTATTTTATTTACTTAACTGTACAGTATAACCCTTCAAAGTTCTTAAATGTTCACGAATTTTAACAATAAAATTTTGTATGAAAATCAATTTCACACACATCTGTATACAGTACATTCCAATAATATTCAGACAGTTAACTTAATTTAGAATATTTTTGCTTTAATTGAAAATAACGAATGCAATTTCTAAAATATTGAATAAAACAAAATAGAATTTCAAAAATAAAAGGCTTAATAAAAATTTATTAGTTATACTCGTATTATATTGAAGGCATATGTGAATGAAGGTGCGTTCACTGTAATTTTTGCCAGAATGAGTTGGCCATAAATATAGGAGCATTGTATGTTTTACTTTAATATCTAATGAGCTCATTAAATATTTAAAAAAAACTTGAGCAATTCCAAATAGAATTTGAGATTGAGCTCAATTGTCAATGGATTGAGCTCTCAATGTCAATTTAAGTAGTTATTTTTATTTCAAATTGGATATTAGAATATGTAAACTGTAAAGTGCATTGTTTTAATTATAATGGAACGCACTGTATCTATAGTACGATATTTATTTTAATATTATTTAAATTTCAATGCTTTTATTTTGTTTTCCTCACGAAAATATTATTTACTCAAAATATGAATGAAAAAATATTTGAGTTAGGCAGATGTTTGTGAAATTTTAAACAAATTTTAAATTTAGTGCATAAAAGTATTTTTAACCACTGTTTTATATTATAAAAAAAGAAAACCTTTCTTATAGATTAGTAAGTCCACTCTAAATAAAACACTTGAAATTGAAAGTTTTTTTATACAACTTTTTGTACTTGAATATCATACAACCGCGATAATATGGCAAAAATTATTTCAAAAAACTTGAAGATTTTAATATGATACCCCATTCATAGACTCCCCCCAAAAAGTTCATATTTCTTTCCCTACAAAATTAAGCTTGAACTTTTGGAAGGCTGGTTAAAATCTCTCATATTCGCTTTCGCCAAATTCGTAACGCATACAAAGAAAATATGATAGGCACACATTGTCATTTATAAAATTATTAAGTCATTCTGACGAAAACTATTGCACTAATTAAAATCTCAAACCAAAGCCCAAGTTGAACTTGAATCTTTAGTTAAAATGTATTAATAACAAGTCTGCAAGAACGGTTATTACATTTGCACTTGTTATAGTTTCATTTTATTTTTTATACTTTTGTTTATGCGTTTTATTTGTTAACCTTTTCGGTCTTTTAACAAGCGCCAGGCGAACCAAAAGATCATTTATATCCGCCCTTAAAAGAAAATTCATAAATAATGAAATAATTTTTCATTTCATTTCATTTTTATATTTTTATTCTTTTTTAAATGTTTTCCATATTAAATCGATACAATTAAAAGATAACCGAAATGGCATCTGGCTTTAGATTGGTTTCTGGTATTATCGCATATATGCGTGGAATGAATGTATGTTGTTCAAAGTTGATTATTTTTTATGATGAAAGTAAAACTAATTTTAATGTGTTTTTATTTTGAACTGAACTGAATTTGACTACTGTTTGCTGTACACGAACGTACAAGTAATTTTTTTTTCGTTCTTCTTATTTTTCAGAATTTAGGCTGAGGCTTTTTGCTATTTATATATGAAAATAATGTGAAAAAAAATGTTTCATATCAGAATAAAATGAATCATGTAGACATCAAATTGATATTACATATTTCAAAATTTAATTGAATGTAATAAAAAAAAATAGAAAATTTAGAGCGTGTTTCATGGAAAATTCACTGTAAAATTATTCATGTTTCTCTTTATGTGACTTTAATATGACGTTGAGTAAGTTATTGATATTGTCTTTTAAGTAATTTTTCAATATAAATTAATCATTTTTCCAGATTTTTTCGTTCTTGGTTGTTAACTAGTTAAAAATTTCAATGTATATCAGTCAATTCACTATTAATATGTAAAAGGAAATGTGACAGATTCTCTAAGTTAAAAATTTTTTGCTGTTTATATTATATGGCATTGCCAAAATTCTGTACAAAGGTCTTGGATGCAGATCAAAGGCTGTATCAATAGTTTTTTGAAATATGAAACTCAAAATAGCTTCAATGCATTATACTATTAAATCAGCCTAGAACCGACTCTTGAGTAAAAAATTGTTACAAAAATTCAGCAAACTAACTGGATTATATACCTAGCCATTTTAAAGATGTAGTTCCCTAAATTGAAATGTTTTCCAAAAATTGTTTAGATTTAATATACCCATGTTAGTATTTTTCAAGAAGAATTTTGGAAAAAAAAGTGCTTATTAATTTCACTGTGTCCACCCGTTTCTCCGTACGTAAACATGTTTATAAAACTTTTACACCCTTTAAGATAGAAAGACGTATAGGCATATAGATTTTTATCAGAAACTTTTGTTTTTAAAATAAAATTTTTACCTATCTCACCCACTATAAAACTTATAGCTTCCCAAAAACCTAAAAATAATTATAAATATTTATTGTAGCGAAAAAGTAGTGGCTGGCTTTCTCTACCGCGGCATACAATATTTGAATACAATACAGATTGTGGGAGTCTGAAATTTAATTTCTAAGTAGCAACTTTTAGATATCAATAAATATTATATTATTAGACGAAAATTTTTCTCCAATTCCACTCCTTTTCATGTTATCGCATCTTGAAATTTGTAAAATTTGAAATTTTGGCACCTTATATTTCCGAAACTGCATGCTTTTCCAAATTTCTATGCCACCAAAAATATAATTACTTTACACAATTTATTAATAAAAACTTTTATTAATAAATTGTGAGAAAATTTGAAGAAATTTGCGATATGAAGGATTGGATAAAACTGTTTTAAGTATCTGGAAATTTAAAAGACGTGAATTAAGTTGTTATACGACATGCAACTTTAAAATGGCGTGGTTTCAAATTTTAATGTAAATTTCAATGCAAAATTTTTATTTTTTAACGCGAAGGGTTCACTATAGTGTTGCCGAATTCCTTAATCTTAATCGTATTAAAAAAAAAAGTCGCTTATGATCTTCGCTTCAACTTTAGAATTCCTATTGCATTTAAACTGTTAAATTTCATAGGATTCGAGGTAAAACGTTGAATATCAACCAAATCCAATTTTTTCGCATTGGATTTTAGCTGTAATATATTTTCGTATTTTTTGCTCAACTTTTATTTTTTCATGCAAGGAACAAAAATTTTTAGAAAACCCAGATTTTTATTTGCTTCAGTTCTTAGAAATTTTAAATATCGAAATTCTTACAAGAAAGATAAAATTATCGCATTAAAATTTAAGTCCTTAAAAACATTTAAAAATTAACATACGAGTCCATGTAATCAATCGGTTTTTTAATTGTTTAGAAACCGTACGATAATATGAAACTTTTTTTCACAAATAAAGAGTTGCAAGACATCTCACAAAAGAAAAATCAGCTTTGATGCCACTGTATCAATTCAAATAATATCTCCAAGTATTTAATTTATTAAAAAATTATGAGTTTGCGTTAAAACTCTGTGAAACAAGAGGAAAAATTTTTATATTTTCTTCTTCATATAGAAAACTACAAATATAGATAAGACCTCCTAGGGTATTGGCGCCTGTACTTAAAAATGATTAGACTATGA